TTTTGTTGAATATTCACCAAGTCAAAAAGGATACAAATGTTTTTGTCCAAGACCCGTCGTTTTACAATATTATGGATATTACTTTTTTTGAAAATCAGTCATTTTATCTCATTATTGATATTCAGGGGGAGAGTCCTAATCAGGAATATCAAGTATGGGATACAAGTACATCACCTTTCACCTTTTCTCCCCTCACTATTCTTGGGTCCTCATCAAATTTTCTTGAAACCAATATCAAAGAGTCTAAACCTGAACCTATACCTACTACTATCAATAAAGAGTTATGTGTCTATATTAGGAGACACAAAACTCCAGTTAATAAAGATTATGAACCAACTACACATTACCATGAGTCTATTCCAGTTCCAAGCAGTAAGAACACATCAGGTAATGAGTTTTCAGGCACAATTTTTGACACTGTTACCAGTATTAATCAGGAATATCAAGTATGGGATATAAGTACATCATCTCTCACCTTTTCTCCCCTCACTATTCCCGAGTTCTTATCAAATTTTCTTGAAACCAGTATCAAAGAGTCTGAACCTAAACCTATACCTACTACTATCAATAAAGAGTTACGTGTCTATACTAGAAGACACAAAACTCCATTTAATAAAGATTCTGAACCAACTGCACATTACCATGAGTTTATTCCAATTCCAAGCAGTAAGAACACATCAGGTAATGAGTTTTCAGGCATAATTTCTGACACTGTTACCACTACTGATCATGATACTTAGTTATCTATTGCTTTGCGAAAAGGAACTCGATCTTGTACTAAACACTCTATACAGGATCATATTTTATTTAGCAACTTGTCTTCAAAGTATAATGCATATGTAAGTAAACTTGATGGCAGCCCCATTGAACCTAAAATTATTCATGAAGCCCTGCATTGTTAATGTGGAGAGGTGCTATTTAAGAATAGATTAGGGCCCTTGAAAAGAATAAGACTTGGGAATTGACAGAACTTTCACCGGGAAAACATAAAGTTGAGTGCAAATGAGTATTATTTACTATAAAACACAATCCTGATGGAAGTGTGAATCGGTACAAAGCTCATCTAATAGCTAAAGGCTTCACTTAGTCCTACGGGATAAACTATCAGAAGGCATTCGCCCCAGTGGTTAAGCACAACACTATCCGGATATTACTCTCTTTTGCTTCCAATTTTGATTGGCCTCTTTATCCACTTGATGTAAAAAATGCATTTCTCAATGGAGACTTAGAAGAAGAGGTTATATGGAAGTTCCTCCAGGCCTTGAGACTACATTTGAAACTCACAAGGTATGCAAACTCAAAAAGGCAGTCTATGGTCTAAAACGATCTCAGAGAGTTTGGTTTGACAGATTTACCAAAGCAGTTAAACATATGAGCTATGAGCAATGTCAATCTGATCATACTTTGTTTGTCAAGAACAGTGTCTCTGGTAAGAAAGCTATCTTAATTGTCTATATTGATGATATTATTTTAACAGGTGATAACATAGAGGAAATTCAAAAACTCAAAAGGTTTCTTGTTACGGAGTTTGAGATAAAAGATCTTGCAGCACTCAGGTATTTTCTGGGAATGGAATTTGCTCGTTCTAAAATAAGGATATCTGTGTCGTAACGAAAATATGTTCTTGACCTGTTGAAAGAAATAGGGATGCTCGGGTGTAAACCAGCAGAAACTCCCATGGAAACGACTACAAAAGTTGGATTTAAAAATAGCAAGCCAGTTGATAAAGAAAGATATCAGAGACTTGTGCGCAAACTTATCTATCTTGCTCATACTAGACCTGACATCAGTTTTGCTGTAAGTAGTGCAAGTCAATTCATGAACCAATCTACTGATGTTCATATGAATATGGTATATCGGATCTTAAAATAACTTAATAAAACTTTAAGATAAGGATTATTTTTCCAAAAAAATAATGAACAGGAATATTGAAACTACACAGATGCTGATTGGGCGGGTTCTATAACTGAAAAAAGATTTATATCTGAGTACTATACTTATATTTGGGGAAACTTAGTCACTTGGCGGAGTAAGAAACAATCTGTTGTGTCACAAAGTAGTGCAGAAGCTGAATTTCGGCCACTTGCTCATGGAATATGTGAGGGAATTTAGTTAAAGAAAATTCTAATGGAAATGAAATTCTTGGTTACTACTCAAATGAAAGTATGGTGCGACAATAAAGCAACAATCAACATAGCTAAAAATCTTGTATATCATGATCGAACTAAATACGTGAAAATAGATAGGCACTTCATCAGGGAGAAGATTGAAGATCAAATTATTACAATACTCCACGTTCCTACTAATCAACAAACAACAGATATATTAACAAAGGCACTTCCCAAAGAACTCTTCAACGAATTGATATCCAATCTAGGTTTACTAAACATTTATGTAACCTAAATTGAGGGGGAGTGTAAAATTACTTTCGGTATTTTCTTTTTTCTATTTTTTTACAACCTCACAATATAACAAAATGGTTACTGTTAGGTTGTGCCCTTTTTCCCTTCCACTAGGGAAGGTTGTTAGTTTTTTGTCTTTTTCCTCCTTCTTTTGTCTATAAAATGTTGCTGATAATCGATGAATAAAATAAGAGTAAAAAGGGGAGTTATTTCTTATTCTCAAATTCTTCAAATTACATGATCAGGGATCCGTGAATTGAATTCATCTTCTATTTCATCTTCTTGAAATTAGGTGGAGACTTTGAAATGTGCACTATCACTTGCAGCCTTGTTGAGAATATGGAAAAATGAAGGCATTACTGATGATAACAGGTTTGTTTATTTATTTTTCATAATTTTTCAATATGCTTTTCTACGAATTCAGGAAATCACAAGGGCATAGAGCTTGCTTGATTGTTTAGAAGCATTGTGTTGCCAATTTTTGAGTGCTACTCCCAGATAATTGAAAGAATAAATTCTTCTATTTCTAAAGTTGGTTTATTTCTTTTTCAGTATAAAGTAATGAGTTCTCTTTCTTTAGTAATGTAACTGTGAATGAGTAACCATTTAGCAAGCATCATAAGGGGCACTGAACCCTTAATTCATGTGCCTCTTTTAAGCTTCTCAATTGCAGAATTCTATCATCAGGCAATTATAACCATGGTATTTTTCCTTTTTTCAGCTCCTTACATTTTAATTTTCAAACATTTTTACATAAAATGCACCTAATCTATTGAATTAGTTATTGCACTTGAACTGACTGTTGGTGCAGTTGAGAGGACTATATGATTGGTATTTTTTGCATTTTTAAAGTCTGATTCTATGATGTTTTTGCATTTTATTCATTGTTATCATATTTTCTTCTGATATGGTGTTCTTTTCTGTGTCTTATTGCTGAACCAGGTTAAGTACCACATACAACGAAGTCATCGTTTACCCAATTCCTGCAGCACTTTACCTCATCAAGAATTTGCTTCAGGTGCACTTGTAATTTCTGCTTTTAATACATCACTTGAGGTGCTGGCTTTCTTGTTTTTCTTGGTGGGACTGATCTACTTTTAAATTTCTTGTCGCAGTATTACATCTTTGCTTATGTGGATGCTCCAGGATATCAGATACTGAAGAACCTGAATATTATCAGTACAGGTGTTTTGTACCGAATTATACTTAAGAAAAAGTAAGCCTTTTTAAATGATATATGTAGACACATTACTGCTTCCTGTATAGGACAAGCCATGGATTAATTCGTACTAGGGAATGGGGTTAAAATTGGGGATTTTTATAGAACACTGAGGATTTAGGGTTTGATGAAGAGGAAAATAACTGGACAAGTGACTAGGATTTGAACCAAGGATTCATTAAGCATCACACCTAAGATGAGGGATCTTCACTGCATCTCACAAAATACCAAAAATATCTGCTGAGAAAATTGTAGAATAATGACTGCCTCATAAGAGAAATTACAAAGTACGTATCTGATTTAATTATATCAAATGATGGCCAAGGAATTTAAATCATAGATAAAATCCTAATACTACTAAAGTTCTAAACCTGAATGTCAAGAGCCTTTGACATCGGCTCCGACTAAGTGAGGGAGAATTAGACTAGAAGATATAGGAAGAGAAGAGAGGGGGAGATAGATTCTAGAAAGAGAGAGGATAAAATTTTGAGAGATCAGAATATATGATATTTCTTAGGAGTTCCGATTACATCTTCAAGTACAAGATCCTCCTATTTATAGAGTGGACTTGGAAGTACAGCTATTAACAGAATAACAGCAAGTTGGTCCCACAAGTATCTGAATACCGTAGACACATAATGCACATGCACTGCTTCTTACTATTTACTACAGCCAATGCCTCTGATAACCTTTAGCTCTTATTGCGAGCGCTGACAAGATCCTTCACTCGAGCAGCAACATGTCCCCAAGGTTTAGATGTGGAAATTGCTTTGAAAGGAAATCTTGATCTTCCCAGGTGTAGTTGAACATGTCCCTACTACCTATGTATAAGCACTGATCCACTTTTTTCCCATTTTGGAGAATTGTCTTGCTTTTTAGGATCTTTTCTGCTATTACCACAACCATACCTTTTGAATCTATGGCAGGCAGTTCATCAAAGTAAATTTGTGTCCCGATTACATACTTCTTTAATTAGGAAATGTGGAATACAGGATGAAGTTTGGAGGATTTTGGTAACTTCAGTTGATAAGCAACCTTTCCAACCTTCTGAAGGATCTCAAAAGGTCCATAGAAACGAGGAGAGAGCTTAGAGGTGTTTCCTGTCCCACTGAACTTTGTTTGCGAGGTTGTAGTTTCAGAAGCACCACTCTTGCTCACTGAAAAACTTTCATTGTGTTTTCTGTCTACAAATTGCTTGATTTGCTGCAGAGCTTGCATGTAACTGCTGGTGGATTGCCTTGCTTATTTGTTGTCTCTCATGTGACAGCTCCTCCACTGTTGGAGAAGGAAAGTGAAAGTCCATTTTATACAAGAAATGTGACTGATGAAATGCCTGAAAAGGAGTAAATTTTAGATTAGAGTGGTAGGTAGTGTTATACCATCATTCAGCGAGTGCCAGCCACTTGGCCCAACCCTTGGTTTGTGATGAGCATGCACCTCAGACACTTGCAGACACTGATTGAAGTGCTTAGTTTGCCCATCCGTTTGTGGATGGTAAGCAGAGCTGGAATACAAAGTTGTATCTAAAAGTCTCATCAATTATTTTCAGAAAGGACTTGTAAATATTTTGTCCCTATCTAAGACTAACACCTTAGGAATTTCATGGAGTCTGTGAACTCCCTGCAAGTATAGTCTAGCCATCTCTTGAGCAGGGAAATGATTCTTAAAGGTCATGAGGTGACCGGATTTGGTAAATAGGTCCACCACCCCATAATAGTATTTTTTCCCTTCGACTTAGATAATTGTTCAATAAACTCCAAGGATACATGCGTCTAGGCATGGGATGGAACAGGGAGTGACTGCAATAAGCCTGGTGTAGGAACCTCTTTTGTTTTACAATGCTGACAGACTTCATAGCGTTGGATCTAGTCCTTCAGATGCTCTTTAGCGCCTGACCAGTAGAACTGTTGTTTAAGGCATTCATAAGTCGTTTTGACTCCCGAGTATCCACCCACTCCCAAATTATGATAATGCTGCATAAGCTCGCCCTTTGGTTTGTGCTAGAACCTATGACCAACCTCCTTTATATCTTAAAATACCATTCTGCACACAAAAGGGAGCTGACTGGTGGGAGCTAAAAACAATTCCTACATTAACTGTTGCAGGAAGGAATCTTTTTTATAATTGTCCTATTCTTCACTCGACCAAGCCTGGATGCTAACGTTGGTGTGGATATATTCAGCTGTTCCCTCCTCCTCCAATCTCTTGGATAGAGGATCAGCCACTTTATTGTCAGACCATTTTTGTACTAAATAGAGTAATCCAAGCCTAGCAACTTCGATACTTCTTTCTGTTATGACACGAAAACTACTCATCTGCTCCAGAGTATTTTTCTGAGCAGTTTACAGTCACAAAGCATACAATATTACCATTAGCTTTTTTTTTTTTATATAAAAAGTGTAACGTATGTATTAACATGGTACCAAAAGAATGGGGGTACCACCCATGTACAAAAGTATTTACATAGAAGTTAATATATCAATGACATTTTCAAAATTCACATCACTAGTGATATAATGACTTAGCATAATCGACCCGAATAAATGTATCCACCTATCCATTAGTCTATTAGTACTACTCTCAACACTATCAAAAGCTTTCCTATTCTTCTCTTTCCAAATGACTCAAAAAACAGTTAAAGGAATGATATTTTTCATATTTCTTTTTACATAAAAACCATACCAAGCCCAAGTCTTCTCCTGACCGAAATGCAGATGACCCAGTTAATCTCTAATAAACCATAAATACACCATAAATTATAAGCAGGAGGACACCATAAAAGTAGTTGGTTAAACGTCTTCTCAGCCTTAAGACAGCAGTAGCAACTGTTAACAATGATTTTGCCCATGTTTTTCAATATGTCCAGAGTTAAAATTCTTTTCCAGCACGCCTCCCACAAAAAAAAACAATTTTACGTAGAATTTAGTCTTTAGATTAGCTTTGCTGGAAATTCCAATCTGTCACAGCTCCCTTGTCATTTAAATATTGTAATGAGAAGAAACAGAAAATTTCTATTCTTTTCCAGATTCCAAACAACTGATCAGTTTTGTTAGAAATTTGCTGTGCATCAAGACATTTCAGTAGGTCTTCAAATTCTTCAATCTCCCAATCATTTGAATTCCAATTCACATTAATACACCAAACAATATTACCATTTATGACCCTATAAGCCTCCTCAACTGTCATCTTAATCGATTGGGCAATATTAAAATTTTTCGGGAATCTCCTCCTAAGACACCCATTACCAACCCAGTCATCCTCCCAAAAATTAATTCTGTTGCCTCTGTCAATTTTCTATTTTATACACTGCTGGAAGGGTTTTCTCATCATTAATATTTTCCTCCACAGATCACGCTCGTGAGGAATTTTAGTTCGGTCATCACTATTGTCGTACAAGTGCTCACCCCATCTAGCTTTTTAATAATCCTTCTCCATAGTCAATTTTCTTCTCCCCAATATCTCCATAGCCATTTACCTTGAAGGGTCTCGTTCAATTTAACCATAGAATGCACCTCCAAGCCCCCAAAATCAAGTGGTAATTTGATAGCATCCCAACTTATTAAATAGTATTTGCATTCATTCAAACCATCATCCCACAAAAACTTGCATTGAATACTTTCCAACCTTTTTGCCACCTTCACTGGTATAGTTATTGTAGATTAGTAAATTGGTCAAAGTGCTCTTGATGAGAGTATATCTGCCTTATTTTAACAAAAAAACCTCTTTTCCAACCCATGAACCTATTTTCAAACATATTAATGATCGGTTCCCAAGTAAAAAAGTCCTTTTATTTTGCCCCCAACTTGAACATCAAGGTACTTAAAAGGAAATTTTACTTTTTTGTAGCCCAAACTTCTAGCAAACGGACCAGCATCACTGCTGCCTCCAAATCTGGCCAATTGAGATTTGTTGAGATTTATTTTGAGTCCCGAAACTACTTGAAAAAAATAGGAGGATGCACCCCAAATATAGTAGGTTTTTAAAATTAGGTTTACAAAAAATTAAAGTATCATCGGCGAAAAACAAATGAGTCACCACTGTGCTGTTATCACCCCTACTAACCGAGACACCCCTCAACAACAAATGTTCATTGGTCCTAACCAGTAGCCCATTGAGAGATTCTATCACAATTACGAAAAGGAGGGAAGAAAGAGGATCCCATTGTCTCAAACCTCTTGATGCCATAAAAAAATTTGAGAGGCCACCATTATTAAAACCGCAAAGGAAGCTGTTTAAATACATGATTCTATCCACTTTCTCCATTTTGACCTGAAACCAATTCTGTTGACCATGTAGTTCACAAAAGTCCAGTTTACATGATTGTATGCTTTTTCCATATCCAATTTGCACACCAAACCTTCTCTCTTGTTAGTTAAAAGGTCATCAACAATTTCATTTGCCGCTATCACAGCATCTAAAATATGTCTTCCTTCCACAAATGCATGTTGGCATTCCCCAATAATCTCACTAGCACCTTTGATAATCTTCTAGCCAACACCTTTACAATTAATTTGTATATGCATCCCACCAGACTTATTGGTCTATAGTATGTGAATTCCTTATCCCCATCCTTTTTTGGAATAAGGGTAATGAAAATAGCGTTTTAAGACTACACAAACCTGTCCGAAGAGTGCAATTCCTTAAAAATTTACACTAAATCATTTTTTAGCAAATATTAAAAAAATTGGAGGAACTTCATATTAAATCAGTCAGGCCCAGGAGTCTTATTCCCATTACAAGATTTTAGTCCATCAAACACCTCCTGCTCTGAAAACTCTGCTTCTAACCACTGCCTACTCGTTTCAAAAATTTTATTAAAGGGCAAACCGTCTAATTTGGGGCAGACAGCAAGGTTTTCCGTGTACAGTTTGGAAAAGTGCCATGTGATGGCCTCCTTTAATTCTGTATTACTCTTTAACATTTTTGTCTTCAAACCTCACCTCTTCAATATAATTACTTCTATGCCAATGGGAGGCCAACGCATGAAAGTACTTAGT